GGGTGGACTGCTGCTGAGAGACCTCATCCCCCCTGGAACTCATCTTCTCCCATTGCTTGATCCACTTCCAGATCATTCTGTTGCTCCTCTCCTCCAGCCGAGTCATTTCTCGGCCATCTCGAGAGACGTGACGAGATTTGTCCGTACGATTTGCCATGGTGTTAAAAAAATACACAAACTAACTTCCTGGAACCTTTGAAACTGCGCACAGGTATTAAACTTTAGTTCTGTTTGTGAAATTTCTGACCTCGACAGAATTAGCTAAAAATAAATATAAGAAAAGTGCATCATAGGCAAAGTACACTAGAAAAGAGTTTGTAAAATAAAGCCAAAATTCACTCCCCAAAACAGTTTATAGATTTTGCCTCAAGGGAGCGCTTGGTAGCACAGTTTGCGTTATTTACAGCCAGAAATCACGAAGATATTGTCGGGTGCGGCGGAGGGTGGTAGTGGTAACCTTTGGTCTTTTATAGTGTGTGTGTGTGTGTGTGTGTGTGTGTGTGTGTGTGTGTGTGTGTGTAAAAGAGAGAGAGAGAGAGAGATTAATACCTGTTCGTTAATATTTTCCCCAAAAGGTGGAAATTTAAACTAAATCCTTCAAGAGCGTAAGTTTTTATGGCCTCCTCAGATGTGGTATATTTAGTGTGGTGTTGTGGCCACATGTGGAATGGAGTACCTACAGTAGGTGTTGGTCTGTCTGGTTTGTTCCATGACTCTCGTTTCTTTTTTTCTCTTCGCATTAGTCCTTCTCTTCTCTCTCCCTCTCTTCTTGTCTACTTAAATTACTTATCTCTTTCTTTCTGTTTGCCAAATTTTCTCTCTCTCTCTCTCTCTCTCTTCCCTCTTTTATCTCTGTATTGTAGCCGTTTTCTCACATTATTAACTACAAGAAAAAATAGCATATGAGCCTTTAAAACATATCTCTGTGCCTTAACTTACGTCAGTCAGTTAGATACGTTCTCACCTTACCAATGAAGATGGCAAGTTAACGTAGAAACTTAAAAAAAAATCACCATTGTGTTAACTTATGAGCACCAGTTAGTTGTGTTCTTTTATCACGAGTTGGGAAACATTAACTTAAGAGCCTTTGAGAACTTATCTTTACTTATAAGATCCAGTTAGAGACTTTCTCACTTCATCTTATAGACAGGAGGAAAATATAAACGCACTGACCACAAAGAACTCGGGTCAAGAACTCTCGGTTGGATTAAATTTCTGTTATTTTTATTTTCACTTTAAAAATATCCATCATCCCCTTCCCCTTCTCTCTCCCTCCGTCCATCTCCTCTCTCCCTTTCTCTCTCATTTCCTCTTTAAATAATGCAGTTGTATACAACATCACAATGAAGCCCTACAATGATTTCTATTTATAGCACTTACAAGTAAAGATAATTATAAAGGTTGTTTCTTACTTGGAAATTGGATTGCTCTCTCTCTCTCTCTCTCTCTCTCTCTCTCTCTCTCTCTCTCTCCCTCTCTCGTTCAATTCGTTATCTCTTATTTTTTTCCTCTTTTTTCACTTTTTTTATTTTCACTCCTTTCTATTTCTTTCTCTTGCTTTCACTCCTACCTTTCTTATTTTCACTCACTCTTAATTATCACTCTCTATCGTTTATTTTCTTCTTCTCTATTTGTCACTCTCCCCCCCTTTCTTCTTCTTCTCTCCTTCTCTGTTCCAATTCTCTCTACCTTTCCTATCATGTTCTTCCATTCTCTTTCTCATTCACTCTTGTACTTTCTCTCTCTCTCATTATATTTACTTTTTAGTCCCGCATTGTCTTTATCCCTCTCTTTATTTTCTCTTTCTCTGTTGTTTGTTCTCTTCAAATGATCTCTCTCTTTCTTCCTATCTCTCACTCTCTCTCCCTTCCTATGTTATGTTTCTAGCTCTCTCTCTCTCTCTCTCTCTCTCCCTTTCTATGTTATCTTACTCTCCCTCTCTCCCTTCCTATGTTATCTCTCTCTCTCTCCCCATTCCTATGGTATCTCTCTCTACAGTACGCAGACAAGTTATCTTTATTTAAGATATGAGAGAGAGAGGGGTGTTTCATATCACATCAGATTCCTTGAGAGAGACAAGACGCTAAATCTTACCTTACTATAGTCTCAGGTCCTTACGTGTCATTAACGGCGACGGCGGGGCGAAAACGAAAAATGGAAGGAATCGCCTTACTCGGGATTAAATTATTTATTTAATTTAAAATGTTAAGTTGATAATATATTACAAAAATAAATTAAAGTTGATTATTAAGTTTTGACTATTTTAGTCGATATAAATTATTTAAGTCAATTTATAAGTTTTCCAATAAAATATTTATACCAAAATTTAGCTTTCATTATTCAGTAATTTGCATGGTAGCAAATTTTCGGTAAAGTTTTCTCCAGATGTTTTCGGTGTTCCGTGAAGTGTATAATAACATTCTGGAAGCTTATAAAACATGGCTGACATATTTACATTTAATATATATATATATATATATATATATATATATATATATATATATATATAGACACTCTGTATGGTGCTTGAGGTCAGGTCAGGTCACTTGCTGTGGGCAGGGGTCACCAAGTCACAGCAGTAGGTCACTCAATGCTGCTTCAGGTAAAGTCAGTTGCTTGGAGGTCAGGTCACTGATGTGGGCCACTCCATATGATGCATGAAGACAGGTCAGGTCACTGTTGTGGGTCAATCCATATGATGCATGAAGACAGGTCAATTCAGAGTGCTGGAGGTCAGGTCACCGATGTGGGCCACTAATAGTTTGCATGGAGACAGGTCAGGTCTTAAATTTCCGAACAATGTAAACCAAACCTCCTCTTGAGAGGAACTTTTACGACAAAATCTTCAACAGTTACTTCGAAGGCGGGTTCCGCCATTTTGAATGACATCACTGCAGCACAACAAACAGTCACAGTTACTTTTCAACGTGTGACGTCATCTAGCTGGCAATAAGCGACAACCAATCACAGTTACTCTAAAACCTGTGACGTAAATTGACGTAATATTGCTGGAGGTCCTCATCAACCAATCATCTCCAGACATTCTCTAAGTTGTGACGTCATCTTGTGTGCGGTCCTAAACAGCCAATTCATGTTGGCTTGGTGGAGCTTCTGATAATTCTCACCTGTGACAAATAACAACACCTAGGTGAAACTACTACTACTACTTTGCTTTAACTCAGAATCGAGTATGACGATCATCCATCTTTGATACAATGATATGAGTTACAAGGGATGTCACCTTCATTGGTGAATTTGAGGTGACTAAAGAGGCCGATATGTGACCAGCAGAGTTGTTCACAGATGTTGCACATGTGGAGGGCTACATCGACTGCGGGAGGGGTGGTGGCAGCATCTTTCCGGCGTTGGCGCTTGTCTGCCTCGGTTTGCAGTCGGGCTAACTCGAAAGTATTGACACCTTCTCATGTGGTGCTCCTCCAAGCGTTACGATGTGGAGTAATCGCCTCCTAGGTGAGGGAGACGATTTAGCACTTTTTCAAGTTTGTCTTAAGACTATCCTTATACCTTTTCAATTGCCCGCCAGCGTTACGTTTACTATTCGTTTGGTGACTGTAAAGTAGCTGCTTTGGCAGTCTACTGTCGTCCATGCGGGTAACATGGCCAGTCCAGCGTAGTTGTTCATGGATATTGGGAGCCTCGATGCTCCTACAGTTGGTGTCAACAAGAATGCTGGCATTTGTTCTCTTATCTTCCCAGCGAACTCGGAGGGAACATAGACAACGTTGGTGAAAGTTTTCAAGTGCCTTGAGGTGCCTCCTGTATATGACCCATGTCTCGCTGCCAGGTAGCAGGGTAGGGAGGACCACTGCTCGATATAAGTACAACTTCGTAGATAATTTCAGCTCCCTATAGCTGAAGACAGTTACTACAGACGAATTCACCAGGGACAGTAATAGCTGGGAGACAAACAATTGGCGCCTTTCCGTGTAATTTGAGGGATAATTGTAATTTGTAACATTGTGATACTTCCAAGTTTCAATATATTTCAAACTTGTTGGTAAATTGAAACTGATATGCGTAATGGACCAGTTATTGTGATGGCGGATGTAATTGTGGCAGGCGTAACTTAAGGTGATCCAGACCAACCCAATAGTGTCGGTAACGTGTTATTAATAATGTTGGCATGTTTTAACCAGCACGTTTAATAAAAGTTACCAGCATTGTTACGGTGGGGTGGATCACCTTTACAGGTGTTAATAACACAGCCATCAGCACAACAGTAACTTTCCTCGCAAAACAAAACAAAAAAGATTACGTTAATATATCAACAACTCGGTCCTGTAATTTTGTTATGACAACGAATACATTCTTTTTCTTTATTTTATTGTAATCTACGGAGGTCACTCTTGTCTTCTGCATCACTGTTTTATATGACAAGTGAGTTGGAAAAAGTCTTGGTAATGGGTGCATTGTACAAATCCGCACACACTAGATATATACGTATATATGTGCTCGTATATATATATATATATATATATATATATATATATATATATATATATATATATATATATATATATATATATATATATATATATATATATATGAAGACAGAGAAAGCAGACAAAAACAGCTAAAGGGCTTCCATATATACAACCAGTTCAACAAATACTGAGAAATAAGCAACAATGCTTCGTGGGTCCCACAAAAAGTTCACCTCAGATGGGAACATCACTAAACTGGCAACTCAAATTCATGGTTCCCACCACTGTTGCCACCCTAGTGATACCAAAATATGCCGTAACAATCAACGTTCCACGACAACAATGCGTATATGAATTTTGTCATCGCTCGATATATAGTTAGTGTAAATAATATCAGTGATAATCCTAATGATAAAAGTAGTCGTTACTGATGGAAATATTGGGAGAATAATATAGTGTGCAATGTAAACATGGTAACAATAGTAAGCAGTTGTTATTGGTGGAAGCGGCCCACGGCCCTCCACTCCAGTCCAGCTGGTGTCGGCCCTGTCGGGGTCTCCGAAGCCTCAGTTGGCCCTCAGCACGCGTAGAGAGAGGAGGGTTATAATTTCCTCAGTGTTCACCGCCACGCTTTCTCGCTCAACTCCAAACATAAAAGTTTACTACTTTACATTTTTAAACGTATTCTAACCCAACAAATATTGACTTGTATCGCTGATTGTTCCAAAGTTTTCCTTTAAAACTAAACATTCCGGGACATTGTAAGATGTAATTTTGTACGTAAGACAATTGCCTGGTGGTGTTACATGCGAGTGTTGTGGCTCATACACACATTAATATCTGTAAATAAGAAAAAACTCACTGAAAATCCTTCTAAAAAACATCCATGAATATATGAATGAGATAACTACAAGCTAAAATGAACTGACGCCAAGAATAAAAACTTAAGAGTAAAACAGGTTGCGTCACACCTGTCATACCCCCTCCATGATGACCGGGTACCCAAGCAGCCCGCTACAGCACCTTGACGATACTTTTGAACATACTCCCAAGAGAACCATTTAGAAAGCCGAACGATAATTAATTTACATACAGATTGATAATGGATTCTGGAGTCTGACGTAAGAACTGATGCCATAAGGTCGTGTACTACGTATCAATCAAGTTCACAGGATTCTCAAGTGATCTGAGAATAATTACTAGTTCTGTACATCCTCTACTATCCCACTTCATGGTGAGTTAATTCATATTTTCTTCATTTTTTTTCTTAAATGTCCGTAAAAAAATATAAAATACACACCACTTTACATACAGGAACAAGCCACAAATAAGCCAAGACTAAAAAACGATCGTCAGTTGGATTTTCTCCCGTAAGAAATTTTAACCTAACCTAAAGCACAGAAAATAACACTCAAAATAACATTCACTTAATATAAAATCACTAAAATTGAATCAGCGGGAAAAAAATATTACGTGGCAACTCTGTGAAACCGATAATTAAGATGGCATCGAAATTATATCTAGACATTACTAGTACAGTAACGCGCATGTGTTCAATGACTTAATATTATTATTGTCCTCATTATTATTATTATCATCAGTATTATTAGTTACTGTTATTATTATTATTATTATTATTATTATTATTATTATTATTATTATTATTTCTATTACAATTATTTTTATTATTAGTATATGCATACCAGAATCTAATGATTTATACCCCATCACATACTTACCAGTATACTGTATATAGATATCTGTCTGTAAGGTATATTCAAGTGTTTATTTACTTATATATTTTATCCCTCGTTCCTCCCTCCTCCACTCACCACGCGGTCCCATAATCTAATTTACATATTCACGAAAAGTTCTTAAAATTCCGTAATCTACATAAGAGTATCGTGATGCACTTTTTGGCCAGCCTCTAGTCGACTCTGATCAGTACTGAGTGGTCAAAAAAATTTCTTTTTATCAGTACACTTCCTGATCAGTACACATAGGTCAATATTCACATGTACACTTCCTGATCAGTTCACAATGATTAATATTTTACCTGTACACTTCCTAATCAGTACATATAGGTCAATATTCACATGTACACTTCCTGATCAGTTCACAATGATTAATATTTTACCTGTACACTTCCTAATCAGTACACATAGGTCAATATTCACCTGTACACTTCCTGATCAGTTCACAATGATTAATATTTTACCTGTACACTTCCTAATCAGTACACATAGGTCAATATTCACATGTACACTTCCTGATCAGTTCACAATGATTAATATTTTACCTGTACACTTCCTAATCAGTACACATAGGTCAATATTCACATGTACACTTCCTGATCAGTTCACAATGATTAATATTTTACCTGTACACTTCCTAATCAGTACACATAGGTCAATATTCACATGTACACTTCCTGATCAGTTCACAATGATTAATATTTTACCTGTACACTTCCTAATCAGTACACATAGGTCAATATTCACATGTACACTTCCTGATCAGTTCACAATGATTAATATTTTACCTGTACACTTCCTAATCAGTACACATAGGTCAATATTCACATGTACACTTCCTGATCAGTTCACAATGATTAATATTTTACCTGTACACTTCCTAATCAGTACACATAGGTCAATATTCACATGTACACTTCCTGATCAGTTCACAATGATTAATATTTTACCTGTACACTTCCTAATCAGTACACATAGGTCAATATTCACCTGTACACTTCCTAATCAGTACACATAAGCCAACATTTACCTGTACACTTCCTATACGAGACATTAAACAAACATAAAATATGGCTGTGTTTGTGTTATTATGGATGTATAGAAATAATATGTATGTTAAGTCTAGAGTCAGGAGTGTTTACAACGCTCATATGGTAAACAATTCCCACTCAGTTCCTACCCACCCACTCCCCATTTACTAGTTCCTATACCCATTCACCCACACACACACACACACCAGTTCCTACACCCACTCATCCACACCCCACTTATTAGTTCCTATACCCATTCACCCACACACACACACACACACACCAGTTCCTACACCCACTCATCCACACCCCACTTACTAGTTCCTATACCCATTCACCCACACACACACACACACCAGTTCCTACACCCACTCATCCACACCCCACTTACTAGTTCCTATACCCATTCACCCACACACACACACACACCAGTTCCTACACCCACTCATCCACACCCCACTTACTAGTTCCTATACCCATTCACCCACACCCCCATTTACTTGTTTCTACTCACCCATCCACCTACTGGTCTAAAAGGAAGTGAATGTATGTAAGTTTGGTTAATTTATGTTAAGTTTGGTTAAGTTGTTGGGTTTGTTTAAGTTTGGTTAGGTTAAGTCAAGTTGGGATAGATAAGTTAGGTTGGGTGGATAGATTTGATTAAGTTAAATTAGGATAATTTGGTGTTTAGGTTAGGTTTAGTTAGGTTAGGCTAATCAATTAATTAAATTAGCTTAGCTTTACTTGGGTTTGGTAAAGTTAAGTTTGGCTAGGTAAGGTTAGGATTGTTTAGGTTATGTTAAGATTGGTTAGGATAGGTTACGATAGGTTAGGTTTATCAATTAATTGGGTTAGCTTTGGTTAACTTGGGTTTGGTTAAATTAAGTTTGTAATTCTTTTAGAGGATTTATCAAGGGTAAAGGCAAACCTTCTTGTCGTCCTTATCATCTTGGCAAATCCCAATTAATTAGCCACTTAGGTCTACGTGTGTGTGTGTGTTTTTCTGACACTTTCTCTCTACCTATTTTACATATTCATTATCCATCTTTAATTTTATCCTACCTCACTTTCCTTCCCCTCCTTCCTTCCCTTCTTATCCAACCTTACTTATCTCACTTCCCTTCCTCCTTCCGTTCTCCCTTACACATCCAACCTTCTCCTCCCTCTCTCACACATCTATTCTTGCCTCTCTCCCCTCCTCTCACTCGCTCACCCTTCTCCACTCACATTCATTCACTCTCCCCCACATTTAAATACACAGTGTTTGCTCTTTTTGGTTTTCCTGTCCACAGAGAGAGAGAGAGAGAGAGAGAGAGAGACGTACAAGTCGACACACAGACATCAACAGTAGCTCTCAGTAGCGAAGAGTAACATCACTTATTCAAGGAGCAATTATTTTTATGTTGCCAATTCACTTGCCTCGTGACAAGGGCCATTGGCAGGTGTGGGTGGCTAGCGGGGTCTTGTTACCGTTCCTTTATGGGTAAGGAAGGAATGATAATAACACCGTTCTTATACAAGCAGAAGAACCCTCACATTCTACGATACAATCACTTCAAGTCCAGACATTGTTTTTCGACGACAACTCAGGCCAAAACATTAAGAAACTTTACCCGAGTTTTGTCTCCTGGCGACACAGTTAAAAAGTTCAGATGAGGTCAGTTCTACAATAGCGTCAGAGAAGACTTTTTTTTTTTACATACAAAGTTCCAATCAGATACAGAGTTATTTACTGATGCCGTGCCTTTTGGGGAGAGTAAAAAGAAAATGGAATAATCTGAGACTTTATAAGGAAGTTGATGACTTCTTTTTCCTAATGGGGGAAAAGCCGTACCGAGAACTATGAGCTTCACAAAGACCCACCCTAGAGCAGCCACACTATACTGACGCGGTATTTTGCTCAGCACTTGGTGGGCTGGACAAGACAGTGGCGGTACAAGCTAAGGGATCAAATGTCCTCTACTGTCTGTACACTGTTGACCGGATGCTCTTTTATAATTTCACAATATTAATTTTTAAATATAACAAATATGTCTCATAATAGCTGCTGATATTCTTCCAAACCCAATATTAGTTACGGTGCTATAAAACTTGCGTAAATCTAACAACAGTTGCATATATACAACATTATTCTCCTTACATAATACATAACCTCAGTATTTGGATACGCGCGACATCATCATTTGTATCTTAACTTCTGGTTGGTCTGCAGCAAGCCATTAGGTAATTGGCTGGACCGTGATAATGTTATGATTATTGTTGGTGTATGGTGTAGTGATCGACTCTCCTCACCGTAAATCATGATCACCGAAAAGTAGTCACAGTACCTCCTACTACTCACTATCATTATCAATTATAACGTAGTTCCCTTTACCTTGTCCTAATTAATCACAACAACAGGAAATACACATGTAGTGCGTGTTTGTGTCTGTGTATGTATACTGTATATGCGAGTGAGTCCATTACTATGTACATAATTACTTCACACAAACACACACCTGTAAATTAAGTAGAGGCTCCACCAAGGCCATAACGGGAGCTGAAACGATTCTTAAAATTCCCTCCTCATTTTTCCCTTCTAAATATTCATCGTCTTTCCTCTCATCCCGCTCTTTATCAGTTTCTCTTCTTTATAACTGCTGCAACAAGCCACACCTAACACGCCACACCTAATACAACACACCTAAACACGCCACACCACACCTAATACGCCACACGGTCACTGACAGACTCAACTCACACTGACGGAGACAAAATTCACTTGATTAGTTTCTTCTTTTTTTGTGTCTCTCTCTCTCTTTATCCTTCCTCGTTCGGTTATTTTGTCTCTCTTCTCAGTGTCTCATCTTTACTATTTTCTCTTCTTTGGTCCCTCAGTGTGTGTGTGTGTGTGTGTGTGTGTGTGTGTGTGTGTGTGTGTGTCCTCTGTTTAATCAGTTTTCTGTGTTTTTATGTAAGTTTTTATACGTTTATTGACTTGTCTTCACGCATAACATCTGTTCTTCACGAGTCTTCACGCTGTATCAACTGAAACACACTGACCCATCAGCTCGTAAACTAGCATATCCGGTTACGGGAGGGGGGAGGGGGGTATTTCTAAGAATGACCTATCTCTCTGCTGGGCGAGATAGGTCAGAGGTCGCTGTGAGAGCATCGTGTTACATCCGTCCAATGTTTATCTTCCAACTAGCATCTTGGATTGTGTTATTTTGGTTTAGGTTAGGTTTATATACCGTTTCTATGTTAGTTTAGAGTAATTTAGGTTAGGGTTGGTTTAGGTTAGTTTGGTTTGGTTTGATTTGATTTGGTTAGGTTAGGTTTATATAGCGTTCTATGTTAAGAGTAATTTAGGTAAAGTTAGGGTTGGTTTATGTTAGGTTTGGTTTGGTTTGGTTAGATTTGATTTGATTTGGTTTGGTTTGAGTTTGAATAGGTTAGGGTTTGGTTGG